CTTTCCCACTTAACTATAAATGTTTCCTCAACTCTGCATGTCACCAAATTACTGGCAGGAATGTTGGTCACAAGGCTGGAAACAATTAGAGAAGTCCTGCATCTGGATCAAATAGACTTTATGAAAAGAAACTTGGTAGCAGAAAATGTATCAAGTTTACAAATTCTTCGTAATAGTAAGTTTTAGCTACTGCCAGAGTAAAACTTCAGAGGTACATAAAATTAATTGAATGAGTTAATATTGCTTCAATACCTACAGAAAAGTGAAAACTTAATTTCCATAAAGGAAGTTCCCATTTTTTTTTTTTTTGCTTGTAAATCCCTTGAAATGGGGGTCCTGTATTTATTCTGCTGGTTTGGTGTGCTCCAAAGCTGAGGAAAACAGTTTTCTGTCATTAAAACTGTCATGTGTAAATACCTTTGATATATTTCTGTAAAACAACACTGAAAGCTGCTGTTACTAGAAAATGAGAAATGTGGGAAAACTTAAATGCCAGTTCTTGATAAACACATCACAGAAGTTTTATAATTTGATGGAAAGGCAGATGGTCAGTAGTCGAACTTCTTATCAGCAACATCAGATTGTGTTACAAAGCAAGTGTGTCATTCCTAGAATGGCAGTTTTTCAGATTATATGTTGCTTCATCTTGAATACTTAATGATTTAAAGTATATTAAAATAAACTAGGTATAAAGCAACATACATTCTTACTCTGAACATCAGTTATTTATATTGTAAACTATTGTTAAAAGCTCCCTGGTTTGGTTGTCTGCTTCTGTTGCTTTTTTGTAAGACTTTCCTGGTGTGTTGAGGGGGGTAGTAGAGGGGAAAGGATTATAACAGTTTTCTTATTTATTATGTAATGTACATACCCCAGAAACAAAAGCACTCCCAGGTTGAGTGCATGTGCTGTTTGGACTCTTTCAGGCACTGTGGTTTACCAGGAGGTCTTCTCTGTTGTTGCAGCACACTTACTTTAATCCAGGATCTATACTATCAATATGTTCCCATCCACCACCACAAAAATTAGAGTATTGATGAGCT